GGGGGGGGGGGGGGGGGGGGGGGGGGGGGGGGGGGGGGGGGGCAGGAGGAGAGCTTGATATGACGAGAGAACTGTTTATCTGGGGGTTTGGCCTGGATGAGTTGTGAGCACAACTAGTCTGATGCGGGTACGAAAGACGACCGGGTCCTGTTTATTGCTGTTTGCTGTCAAAGAAGTCGTTTTACTCCCGAACTAGGTGTGCTGCGCGCTGTATAACTGAAGGTGGTTATACAGCACCGGCCGTTTTTAGTGCTTCAAGATCCTCGCGGGACGTTCGCCCTTTGCCCTTAACCCTCCTAGTACCCAGTCCCTCCGCAAAAAAAAAATGTCGCCAAAATGTTTGTCAGCCATTGGTCGGGGGGCTACATCAGTCCCTCCCAGGAGGCTGATCTCCTTGCCAAACTCCGGGAGACTTCAGAATGGGTGACTTGACTTCAGAGTGAAAAGTGTCCCCAGAAAACGTGGGGACATTTTTCGCACTGGAGCCAAGTCAGCAAGTTTTACAGTACCAGGCAAAGAACAGTTTTACCACCTAGGGGACACGCGGCTTGGGAGACTGGTGTGCAGCAAGCCAGAGGCCGAGGAGGGGCATCACACAGCATATCACACAGCGTACCGCCTCAGCCAAGCACGATGGACCTAAGGTTCTCACGTGCGTTTACACGGCACGAAATAGGGTGACTAAGATGCGGAAAATAGGCATTTGAGTGCTGTGTCCCCAAAGTGTCCCCATTCATGCTTCCAGTACTCAGAGGGTTAAGAAATCCGTGTAGAAAACATCAACATTGACATCAAACATTTTCCGGAGTCCTCGCCCCGGAGTGTTCTCGTGCCTAGTGGTATACCTCCCTCCGTGTCTTGAAATAAATGTACATGATGAGATGTGTACGAATACGTACGGGAAAATGTCCGAATTCATATCGCATGCACCTGAGTGTAATGCAGAGTAGCCTTTACCTTGCTACCTCATTACTACTCGACTATTTGTTTCCCTTCTGCTCCTACAGACTAAAACAGCCGTGAGCCTGCTTCGTTGTCAAGCCACCACTGCCGCTGTTGAATAATCGTCATCGGCCAGGAGTCCAAGTGCTGCTGTCGTTACCCCACCCCGCCGCCCCTTCGGCCTCCTGCCGACCTGCCGCTCTCTGCTTCGCTGCCGCTTGCCGCCGCCGCGTCTTCTTGGTCCTTGTTCTCTCGGGTGTTCCCAACGATTCTGGCGGCCTTGGTTCGGTCATCCGGTATTTTCGCAGGACGAACCTAAGGTTCTGCTCGCCCTTGTCTAGCAAGTGTTCGACGCGCTCTGCGTCGTCCTCCTCTCGATGGGCCTTGTAGAGCGCGTTTCAGGGTACATGCAAGGGGGAGGAAACAGGTCAATATCTCGTTTTGTTGCGCCAAACATGAGGAGCGAAGCATGCGGCAGCATGGAAACGCCTCTGTGCAACAGAAACCAATATACTTGGTGCGTTCACCTGCCCTGGTCTGGAAGCAGAAACCAGACCTTCAGCGCCGACGGTACTCGGGTGTAAACGCTACTTGCGAAAATCCATGGTAGTTTGATGTGCGGTTGCGGACGTCGTAGTACCCTATCCCGAGTGTCGGTCAGCTCATATTAAACAAATACCTCACCACGATATGTTCCCTGGCGAAGCCGTGGTAGTAGTTGCCCATAGCTCCCTCCATTGCCCTGTGGGTATGATGGAGGCCGACGAGGGAATCAACGAAAGGGGCGTCCTTGTGTTTGTTGTGAGTCTGCGTGTAGAAAATACACAAAAGTTACGTAACGCTCAACACCAACAACGTTATTGCCCTCTGGCGATTCTGTCTCTACGTACATCTGGGGTGACAACACACACATCTGCTGGCCTTGCGGAGGGATCCCATGGACCAAACGCACCTTGTCCGCGCATGTTTCATTCCGGCTGTAAGGTTGACGTATATGTTCATTGGTCAGCGGTCGGTGCGGTCGATTCCAAACATGCCAACAGGCCAAACAAAGTAACACACCTAGAAAATTGCATAACGACTTTGGCGACCGAACTCTGTATCTCTACTAACCCGTCATTCCGTTGGAGGCAAGCGGGGAGGACAGTAATGCTCCACAGTCCAATCCTGTCTCTGCCTCCGAACTCTGGCATCATGTTTTCAGGCAGCTCCCAGCTCGAAAGCACATCCCTGGAAGCAGCATCAGTATTACCACCAAGTGATCAGAGGGTCAAGGAAATCGACTCACCTGCAGCACCTCAGACACCTCCTCCATAGCTGGATTGTGCGGGGATTGGGAGGCATGAGAGCGCGCCCATCACGATCCAAGCAGAGAGGGAGGGAGAGAGAGGCAGGCAGGCCAGCAGCGAGCAGGCGGAGGCGGCGAGATGGAGAGATAAGCACGCCAAAGCGGTTTGGTTGAGAACCAGCAAACGCCTCCCGAACCTCGCTTTCTCCGCTGCCGATTCTGTCACAAGCAGCAGCGCACACACGCACGACTGAGGCTTTAAACATGACGAGTTCATGGCCAACACGACGAAGGAGGGGCACGTACCCCTCGCAAGCCCTCCTCCTCGCTCTTCCGTGCACCCTGGCCTTCTTCCAGTCGCCGAACGCAGGCTTGTCGGCACTTCAAAGGACCGGAATTGCCGGTGCTGCCTCCACGCGAGGTGCTTCAACAACGTGGCCGGCTGAGAGGAGCGGCGGTTTGGCGGCGGCGGCCGTGGGTCGGCGGCGGCGAGCACGGCGACCGCACGCCGTCCCGGTCCTCTTCGGCAAGGGCCGCAAGAAGCGGGGGACGGCAGTCTCGCAGGACTCCTCCAGCTGGTATGACGAGGACGAAGAGGACGTTGTCGTTGGGGGTGCTTCTACGCGAGACTCAGACGGGGCCCATGCCGCAGCGGCAGCGGCGTTTTCGACGACACCGGCAGCTGCAGCAACGGCGGAGGCGGGGGAAAGCTCTGGCGATAGCCAAGAGGTTCGTCGCGACGTCGAAGACCGGGGTGATAAGGGTTCATCTTCCTCCACCTTGACGGACGACGCTCTGCTCCCTCCCCTCGATGACGATGGCAACCAGATCGTACTCGAACCAGTCTGGGTGGAAGGGGAGACGCAGGGGGAGAAGCCTATCGTGGAGGCGTACGGGCTCAACGACGCTTTGGCCGGGGCGGAAGACGGCATCGACATCGACAACGGGATGATGGCCGGCGGCGTTTCCGACAACGAGGCCCTCCTCATTCCGGCGGCCGACGGCGGCGTGTTGCCGGGGGGGCTGGGGGACGGGGTGGGGCCGGAGAGCTGGCGGAACGGCATGGAGGTGCCCGACGACGATGTGGTGCTCGGGGAGAGGTTTAACACGGTGGGGAGGGGCCTGGACGACATGCTGATGGAGAGGTCCATCCGGTTCTACGACCCAAAGGTAACGAGACTACATGTATCGTGATGTTCGACAGGAAGCTATTGCTCACAGCGTAGGGGTACATACCTTTTGAGACGAACAAAGGTGAGCATGTAGGAACGAGCGCCGACCCCAGTGCGGGACTCGAGTGGATATTTTGGATGGGTGCACCGTTTACCGCCCCCGGTCCTTCCAAAACTACTTTTGCTCAATTTTCCTTCCATGTGGTTCGTCGGTCGCATCTAGGTGACGGGAGAGCGAGAGAGGTGCTACCTCGTGGGGCTGGAGGCTAGCGGTTGGGGCATGGGCAACAAGAGGAACACGAAGGGGTCTTTCCCCGAGAAAGGGGCAGCAGCCGGTGAGGCTCAACACTTGACGTTTTCCTACACAGGGTGGTTTCGTTGATATTTTTTGGGTCAGTATGCCGAGCTGCTGACGAGGAGTACGCCGTGATGCGGTGACAGGTTGCGCTGTTGCTGCTTCTTTGATGGTGGTGGTGGCTGCTGCTGCTGCTGCTGCTGCTTCTTAACCATTCGAATCGCGATCGGGCAAAACAACAGCTTGCTGTTGAGGTGATGACCAGTGGGCATGTATCATCTGTCCACTGTGGAGTTTGCAACGCCTCTGTTGGGCTGTGTGTCATAGACGGATTTGTTTGGACGGTCGACACTCTTCCTTCCGCTTCAGGGGGCTTGGCTGGGTATATGCAGGGTATTTGCAGAGTGCCGCAACTGTAGCCAGTCAAACGACCGATACCTTCCGCATTTCCATCTTTCGATGAAAGCGCGACGTGTCTACCAAGGTTGCTCAACGGCCTCTTTGGCGTATCTGAGTTAGTCTTCAAGCAGAGCGTACAATGTTCACGGCTTTGTTCGTCCCGCTTCCATTCCGGTGATGTGGTGGCATGGGATGCGATGCGGTGCGGTGTGACGGTACATTGTGATGGGATGGGATGTGATGCGACGTGATGTGGGCTGATCGCAGGAGACGGCAACGGAGAGGGGGGCGAGGACGATGGGTGGACCGAAGAGCAAGAAGCGGCGTTCCAGGAGGAAAAGAAGCTGGCGTACGAGGTGAACGAACAGCACACGCTCGATGTAACAACATCGACACCCAAAACTGGAGGTTTTTCGCGTGGAAGATGATCACACACGGCAGTAGTGACGGCGTGCATCGAACGCGAAGCAGCAGTACCCGAGAAATCGGCCACAGAAAAAATTCTTGGAGATGGAGGTCCTGCGTACCATCTTGACCAGAAAAACCTAGTCTACGTTCGCGCGAAACGTCCCAAGTCATCGACACATGTGCAATTTTTCTCTCTCTTGATCTGTCCATTTCTTCCGTTATCATTCTCTTATTCTTGTTGCTTTCGTCATCGGATCCGCTCTCCGTCTGTTTTGTCCGTCTGACTGGCTGCGTGCCCCGTGCGGCTTCGCCTCTAATTATACAAGGCTCGAAAGGAGGAGCGGGAAATGCGCTTTACTCTGGAGGAGTCCATGGCTGAGCTGAGCGAGTTGGCGGGCACAGCGGGGCTGGAAGTTGCCGGATCCACGTACCAGAGGGTGCTAGAGCCCAACCCTCGAACCTACATCGGGACCGGGAAGGTACAGCAATATTTGTACTTGTACCATCTTTTGTGCAGTGGGTGTTTTTTGGATATCTTGCGGCAGTATCAAAATAGCAAAGGCGATGTGATGCTTCGTTTTCTTAGGAACGATCGTTTCATTTTGCTGCCGCTGGGGTAGCTGACGCCGCCCCTGATATCCAAGGTGTCTATTCCTTAATATGTCGTGCAAAACGGCGCGAGAGAAGCTGCAGGTAAGAGGTCAAGCAATGCCCCCACCCCGCACCCCATGCTCTGCTGCCTACCACATGGAGTACTGTCGTCTTCCTTTCGCTACGCGACTAAAGGTTGCTGGTGGACCATGCACCGAATCCCCAAACCCTCCCCGTCTGCACTCTCAACAAGCCTCTGTCAATAGCACGCCCCCCACCATACTCTGTATTAACATGGTCAAGCACCCTCGAGGCAGTTACGCAGTGCTTTGAACTGTGTCTCGAAGTGGAAACACCAGACAATAGATTAACTCATTCGCAGCTGTCACCCGTTGCGAGGAAGCAAGCACAAGATGCCGAACACCCTTGGTAGGGTGCAGCGCACCTCCATGCGACTCGCCAAATACCTCACGGCGCTTCACGCTTGGTGATGTGAGAGCCTGGTCCGGTGAGAACCCGGCGTGCTCCGTCCCGGCTTTGCAGGGATGCGAGGTCAATGGTCCAACGACTACGGCATGCACGGCTATGAGTACACCCCCCCCCTCTCACCACCATACTCTACCTGCGTCGCCCCCACCCTGAGCCATCGTTTTTCACGCGCGCTTCTTCGCCGTCTCAGGTGAAAGAGATCAAGTCGGCCATGAACCAGCTGGGCGTGTGTACGGTGATTTTCGACGACGAGCTAAGCCCGGGGCAGCAACGCAGCCTGGAAGTAGAGTTTGGTGGGGAGGCGGCGGGCATCAAGGTGGGTGCTGGTCTTGCGCGCCGCCCTCAGCTTTTCGCCGACGCACGACTGATGGCCCTGAGACTACCATCCGTGCGTTAATTCCACCCCCATCCCTTGTCCTGAACCTTTTTTCTCGCGAGGTGCTGGAACTCTCCGCCCTCAGCCTTACTATCCCGATGCTGGCGCTACCGCCCAAGCCTGTAGTCCTTGCCCTAATAATCCAGCCGGAAGTTGCTGAGCCCCACACACGCGACCTTCACCTTGAACCCTGCCACCAACCTGAGTTCAACCGTTGAAACAACTCTCACGCTATTCCCCCGTCCTTCGAACTTTCTTTCTTCCAAGGTGCTGGACCGCACGGCCCTGATTCTGGACATTTTTGCTCAGCACGCCAAGACCCGGGAGGGGCAGCTTCAGGTGACTTGACTGAAGAAAGAGATGGTGAACGCCCTTCACCATGTCAATAGAGTTGGAAGTGGATTGCCTTTGCAGCAGTAGCCGTAAGCACAAGTTCGGAAACACAACATTGTCCCTCGTGTGGAGGTGACCTTCTTTAAGGGCCACACATTTCCCCAACGTCTTTTGAGGACGATACGTTCTTGTCACGTTGGCATCCGCGATGCGGTGGCTTCGATTCCGCCTCCCACCTACATTGTTTTTTTCACCCCACCGTTTGTAGATTCGGAATTGGTGCTTTCATGCCCAGAATTCCACCAGCTGAAGTGGGGCAGCCAACCCCTGGCAGCAAGCAGTGGTGGCTAGACGTAAGCCACCACGAAATCTCTTTCTGACACTAACGCGTCGAACTCAAAACGGCAAGGGTAGAAACGCGCTGCGTTCAGCTACGGGATGACCTGGCACCTTCCTCATGAGCCTACCGGCTAGCAACACACCCCACTCTACGAAGCGCCGACCTCTTCCCATGGTCGAGTTCGATTTTCGTCACTGGCACCACGGCCTTTTTAGCTCGCCTCTTCCGCCAGTCCGAATCTCTGCGTGTGACAGCACAGCACGATGGCAGCCATCATTTTGTTCTGACGTGTGTACCATGGCACCACCGGCAGTTGTGATGCGATTCACGAATCTTCCAACCCCCGTTTTGGCTGTGTGTTGGGCAACACGTGCCAGGTGGACCTGGCTCTGCACATGTACCGCTTGCCGCGGCTGACTAAGATGTGGACCCACCTGGAGAGGCAGCAGGGAGGCGTCGGCCTTAGGGGGCCCGGGGAGCGACAGCTTGAAGTCGACAGGTGGGGAGGCGTTTCTCGGTGTGGGGAGGGGGGTGTACTCCTAGTCGGGCATGCCGTAGTTGCAAGACCTTTGACGTCGCATCCCTACAAAGCCGGGACGGAGCACGCCGGTTTCTCACCGGACCAGGAGTGGGGGGAGGGGTATGGTGCGGCTGCCTCCTGTTTGTTCGGGAAGGTAGCGCCCGCTCGTCTGGGGTAGCTGCCGCCATGCCTGCTTGCTTTCGTTGGTGTTGCTGGTGTCATCGAGCCCTGTCACTGCTAGAAGAGTTTCGGCCTTTGTGTTCAGCATGCCTGTGTTCTCTACTCTTCCAACCGTGAATGTGCCAGAGATTGTCGGCCATATAGACCAACTCAACCAAGACCAAAGAAGAAGGAAAATCCGTCAACCCATCACCGTGAAGAGCAAGTAGGACTACCGCAGATCACCGCCTTCATTCTTAAAATCAAACTAAGTAGTGCATTTCGCACCAAAAAGTGAATCAAACACCCCCCGCCTTGTAGCACAAACCCACGTGATCAAGAAGGCCAACAACAAAGAGCGACCTACCTGAAACCGCGTGTACGAAAAACACAACCAAACGAAACAGGCGGCTTCTGAAGGACAAGATCATCGCCCTGAAGAAGGAGCTGAGCGGAGTCCGCAGGCACCGAGACTTCCAGCGGCGCGGGCGCAAGAAGCTCGGCCTTCCGGTCGTCGCCCTCGTCGGTTACACCAACGCCGGGAAGTCGACCCTGCTCAACACGCTCACGCGCGCGGGCGTCATGGCGGAGAACATGCTGTTCGCGACGCTCGATCCGACCACGCGGAAGGTCAAGCTCAGCGGCCTCAAGGTGGGCGTGGTACAAGGTTGTGGCGTCGCCCGCCCTAATTGACTGACCAATAAAGAGACGTCAATGCCAGCGGGTACAATCAAGGTCCCTGGAAGTGTGTGTCTGCGCTGTGGTGGTATTGGTGGCTCGGCTCGTGTTCCATGTGCGTAAGGCCAGACCCATAACGCGGGCGCAGCTCGTTGTCGGGTGCATTTTGGTCGCCATGACCGAAGGTGAGGCTCAGCGGCCTCAACGGTGTTGTTTTGGCGTAGTGTGCCAGGCACGTCTACCATTGCGCTTTATGTGCTTCGTTTGCTGGTGCGCAGCTCAACACACAGGGTGCTGCGTTGGAAGGATGACCCAAGAAAAGTGAGGTGAAGGGTCAGTGCGGATCATGAATCAAAGACAAAGTGCCGATTGTGGATGCCGTGAGACCGGCGTGACATTTGGAGAGACCAGAGAAAACACAACGGGGCGTTTTTGGCAGCGCAGAGTGTTGTTGGGATGGCGTCCGAAGTGTTAAGAGTGCGGGCGGGTTTCCGCGTGGCAGCGAAGTGTAGACCACAAGCGCAGCAAAACAAGAATGCACGACCTTCGCAATCGACCATCGACCGCCTACTGGCTGTATGGAGGATAAGCATGGGCGGAAATGGCGGTTTTAGAGCTGCCTGATTAAAAAAACAGCCGGGTTAGGCTTGAGGATAGCCTTTTTTTCCACCCGTAGTGTCAACACCAGGAGCTGAGGACAACCTTCTACAGAATGAGTAGGAACACCTGGAGCTGAGGCTACCCTCCCTGCTAATGTAGCAGTACTACCGGTATGCAGGGGCTGAGGCTACTTTACTACAGCGGCAGTACCAAAGACACGAAGGTCTGCATCGATCGCACTGCTGACGGCCCGTGACAACCAACCGCCACCAGGTGCACCCGGAGGTGATGCTGACGGACACGGTGGGCTTCATCCAGAAGCTGCCCACCAACCTCGTGGCGGCCTTCCGAGCGACACTGGAAGAGGCACGGCCGTTTTGCATGCACTAGAAGATGAATATTTTGTGTCCTGGAAGAAGTCATTCTGTGCAAAGTACCTTTTTTTTAGTCCAGTCATTGGGTTCACCTGCTATTTTCCCAATAGGTGCCTACAGCATGCTTGTATCTTTGTTGTGATTTTCTTCTGCCTTGGGAGCGCACATAAGTTTTCTTCATCAGCACCGACGGCGCTAACCGGCTGCCCCAATGAAAAGGAGTCGTCAGTCTTTTGTAGTAATAGCGAGATAAAAAACACGAACACTTTCTAATCAAAGGGTAAGTGAGGGTTCTACCCACAGGGGGGGCGAAGGAGTTGGGAAGACAACAGCAGTGTCGTGCTCCTGAAGCACAAGGAGATGACTCACTCCGTACGGGTGCAACGTCGTCGTCTGCCTTGCAGGTCGTGGAGGCAGACGTGATCGTGCACATCGTGGACGTGAGCTCGCCGTCTCGAGAGAAGCAGGAGAGCGCAGTGACGGGTGTCCTCGGCGAGATGAAGGCCTCAGACAAGCCCCGCCTGACCATGTGGAACAAGCTCGATCTGCTTCCAGAAGAGGAACAGGTGCCATGCATCCTGAGCTTGCGCCCATTAAGGGCCTTCGCTGCCTCGTAGTTAGAGGAGAGGTGCAGACACAGTGGGGGCGTGGGTATTGTTGTTAAGGCTTCGGATTGCCCTGTAGTCAAGATGCAGTAGAGAGTACAGTTCTAGATAGGTAGATTAACGCTACGGCCGACAGAAACGTGATGTGTGACGCAGCCGTGCCCTCAACCTTCGCTATATGTGATGTGCCTAACACAACAGACGTGTCTCTCTTGGATACAAGCGAGGGGGGCGTTGTCACGCCCTACACGGCGTGCGTGCGGCCGGCTGACTCCGTCGACCGGTTCCACCCTCAGAGGCACCATGACGGTGGCTGCTGTGTTCATGGGATACACGAAGCAGTTTCTGCAGTCTTGAGCTGTTGTGTTCATAGGAGGCGAGAGGCGACTTTTGTGTACGAAAATCGTGTTCATAGAGTGCAAGACACGATTTTTTTTTTCGAGTCGTGTGCTGTGCTGCACTTCCCTTGCGGCGCAACGAACTCCGCTGTAATTGACTCAACAGGAGCAGGTCAGGGTGGACGCGGAAGAGAGGGACGAGCTCACCGTCGCCGCGAGCGCCATGACGGGCGAGGGCCTGGACGACTTCGTCACGTGTCTGGAGGTAGTTAACAAAGGGAAAATTTTGAACGATTAAGCAGTTCCTTCCCGCCGCCATGTACCTCCTTCGTTCTCTTTCGTCGCCGTCTGTGCCGAACCAGTTAGAGACTGTGCCCCCTGTGGCGAAAGGAGCTGCGCTGACCTGTCGGCAAAACCGCATGTGTGCTTCTAGATTAACTGTTCCTCCGACCTTGCCTCTCTTTCACCACTCGCCGTTGTGTTGTCCTGGTGGGTTTTCTCGGCGTTTCGCCCACTTTCGCGATCATTCACGCGTGCCTGCGCAACATTCGCGTAAAACCGCTGTATATTTAAATGCATATTTTTTGTGCACCACCAGGAGGCGATATGCGCACTGCTCTTCAAGGTGGAAGCGGTCGTGCCTTACAGCAGGGGGGACCTGCTCAGCCGCGTGCACGAGCTGGGCGCGTGCGACACCGAAGAATACACGGACGCCGGTACCCTCATCCAGGTTCGACGACGTTCATTGGAGAGATTCTCTACGGCCTGCTACTGTACGCGCCAGCCGGCAGCAAGAAGTAGCCCGTTCCAAACATCGAGGCGGTTGGTTGCCGTTCCATTCCCCCGCGTGACGGAGGAGGCACTCTTTTGTATGTTTCGAGTGTGTACCCTAGTGGGGCGTTCCGGCCACATGTGTTCCTTGGTTGGCCCTCGTGCACGCGCCTGGGCGGCCGTTCTCGGGGATCGCACCAGCGCGACGACCACGTGTGCCATGGAAGGAGGACTTGGATTGTTTCTCACACCGCTAGTATAAGGGGGAGTCTCTGTTGGAGATGGGTCCGTTGTTGGTGCGGGTGTTTTCGATGGTAGCACCCGGGTCTCTTATTCCTCTTCGCGTCAGTGTGTAGTTTGGCTGGGAATGCAACCAGCCTTCCTCCGTGACCCGAATAATCGCATCCTGTTTTTTTGTTTTGGCTGTGTGGAACCTCCCAAGATCGATTTGGTTCGCCTGTGTCGACGTGTGTTTGCCTTCGGTACGTCTACCACGGCGGCCTCGCTGGCGCTTGTCTCTCGGTCCTTATCGTTGGACTTGCCTTTTTTGCACTCCGACCACATTTTCTTTTCGCTGATCACCGTCATCGCCGTCGCTGTTGTTGGTGTTCTTGCTATTTTCGCCTCAGCTCTTTCGAATTGTTCATTTGTCGCTACGTGGACCATAAACCTCTCCCTACAACAATTTTCTTCTTGTTTTTCGTTTTGCTCATGGTGTACGGCAGGCGAGAGTCCCGGCAGAGCTTCTCAACCGTCTAGAGCCGTACTTCACCCCGGAGTTTAAGGAGACGTCACGTGTGGAAGAATCGAACTCCGGCGCGGAGGAAGTCGCTGCCCTGAGAGAAGAAAACACGTGGAAGCAAATCGCCAAGAAGCGGCTGAAAACTAGCTCTCTTGACGAAGAAGAACCGGTGGCGGTACCAAAGTAAAATTTATAAGATAGATTGATGGGTCATTGTCGGCGTACACGGGTCGGAATGAGGGCTACATCGCGCCCTTGATTACTGCGTGTGTTTGTGGGGGTGGTGGTGGTAGCATCGCACCAACATCGACGTATATCACCGAAACCGGCGACCTAGGTTGTCTGTTGTTGCTGCGTGTGTTGTGTGGCTTTGCTCCTCTCATCGTGGTTCGTGGTGGGTGCAGGCCGATAGAGAAGTACACAGGTACAAGGAACGTCGCGATGTGTTGCGGCGCGTCTTTGTTTCGGGGGGTAGGACTAAGTTCTTGCCTCGCGCGTTCGTTTTTTGCAGAGGGGCGGCTCGGTTGATGAGGATGCTCTTGCGGAGTCTGATGCCAAAACGACTGCAGCTATTTTTGCTGTGTGTGACACAAAGTTCCTCGGCAGCAGTCACCTGAAATGCTAATGAGGCTTGTGTTGTTTTGCGCGCGTCTGTCGTTTTGGAATACAAAGTAGGTGATGCGATTGGCGCGCTGCGATGTGCCCGGTGCCGCCCCAACCCCCCTGTTGTAGTGAAATGTTTGCATGTTTCTACTGGAGACGACGTGTCAGTGCGCTGTTTCCCCCGTCGCCGTGTGGCGTGGCGCGATTCAGGTCACGCGCGCCGCGTGGTGCGTCCATTTGATACAGATACACCTTTACGAGCATGTGATCAGCTGTGCTGCTGTGTCGTTACGACTGAGCAGACTGCCTGTCCTCCGTAGATGAAATCGATGTGGCGAGATATAGTTAAACGCAAACCTTGGCTTTTGTGTATGTTTCAACCGTGTTTGCTTACAACCCCGGCAACGGCGTCGTCACGCATTCACTTTTGCGCCAAGCATCATTCAAACTGCGCCTAATCTGGCGCGAGGAAGACTCGGCAGTTGATCGAACATCTTGGAGAATACTTTCGCCAGTCGGCGTGTTTTTGAGGCCTTGAAACATCCGATAGTACTACTGAGGTAGTTTGAACCACAACGAAGATTTTGCTGTCAGAGACGAACACTTCAGCAGATTTTTTTCAGAAAGTAGACACACCTAGACTAATAGTCTGTCTTCTCAGTCGCAGGACACATTATGCTTTCATGATTGCTTTGGCGGTGTACCATGTGCACGCCAGCCTGTTCCTTTCGCCTCCACACCGGAATATACCATAAGGAACTATGCTCAACAAGGGCAACCAACGCCAGCAAATCAATGGTGGGATGTGTGAGAGGGTTCGATAAGGAAAAGCAGTCGGCATTTATGGCCTGTTTGTTACTTCGTTTTCGGGGTGTGTTGGCAAGACTGGCTATCAAGGCCGCTCGTCGTTCGATTCGACACGAACAACAACACGGACAGGCCATAATTTCCCATTTTTGCTTTTTATCATCGACCCAAAAAGCCCCCCCCCCAGAAAAAGTGCCCCCCCTCGGTGTTTGCCATCGGGGTTGGGTTTTCGTCGCTTGGCAACGACGTTGTAAAACAAGCCGCCCCCCCCGGTGTTTGCCATCGGGATTGGGTTTCGTCCCTTGGCAAAGACGTTGTAAAACAAGCCAATTCACTTCGTGAACTCGGCAACCAGGTTACAGTTTTTTTTTTTACCTCCGTTTTTGTTTTTTGGCGGTAACCATAATGCTGGTCGAGTAGGTCATGTTGTGCGGGGTGGAGAACCCTCACTCCGCGCAAGGGGGATGATCGCACCACGTTGTGTT